TTCGTCCACACAAGAATGACAAGAAGGAGAAGAAATGACCGAATAGCAAAAAAGAAAATCAAGAAGACAAGATGTTCCCCTTGAAGAGCCTTGGCTCAATGGTTGATAATGGCATCTTGAAGAGGGTCACCTTGCCTAAGATCTAGGCTCACCAAAGGGGAAAGAGAAAGGGACTTTAGAGTGGAGGATGATTTTAGACATGAAGATGGTGAAGGATTTAGGTGGAAGTGTATGGATGCTCAAGTAGGTTGGCTCACTCCAAAGGTAGATCGAGGCCACTCTAGGGTTTCACTCTCCAAGGGTGGAGAATGAAGGTGGTTAGCTGATGTTAACCTAGGGACTAAGGATAGGATTTAAGGTAAAGAAATGCTCTCTCAAATTCATATAATCCAAAGTATTTACAAGGTGTGGTGCCTTGGATATTTATAGGAGTGGGAGGCATCTAGGGTTACATTTGGAGAGTGCACGGCCGAAACTCACAATGCCAAATGCACTCCAAATGAAATCCAAAATTAACCCTAGATGCAACTTGGTGGCCAAGGATGGAATCTTTGGGTTTAGTTAGGCTACATCTAGGTGCATGATAAGACCATGCAACCTTTGCCCTCCACTTGGGCCTAAGCCTTTCTAACACCAAAAATAGATCCAATAGCCACAAAAATACGTCTAGGATTTTGTTCCCACTCTAATCAAATACCTTAGCCCAAAAATAAAATCCTATGATCTAAAGCACACCATAATACAAGGGTAAAATGGGAAATACCAAAGAAAATAAATCCTATGACTAAGATACCCCAAAATACAAGGGTAAAATTGGAAATACAATTAAAATAAATTCTAGGACTAAAATACCCCAAAGTACAAGGGTAAAATAGGAATAAAACAATAAAATCCTACACTACTCAAAATGGGCCTAGGACATGGATCAATATTCCACACTCATGATGAGTATGGCTCTAGGCGTGGTATCTCCTTTATCCTCCTCCATCCTCCTAGTCATGGACCTAGTAATGGGTCCAACTTGTAGTTCCAAGGGCGGCCCTCCATCACCTTGTACTTGGCTTTCCACACCTTCAAAGAAGCACTCAAAACACCTTATAGTTGGTGGAACAATATGGTAAAAAATGAAAAGGAACAATTAAGAAAGTTACACCAAGTGGTGGAGTTAAATGAGAAAAAACAAGATGGAATTCCAATAAAAGACAAGCAAAAATTAAGGCACCAAAGAAGGCTAGCACATCAAAGTAAGTCCTATCAATGGCTCTAGAATGGATTACAAAATTAAAATCTAAGATTAGAAAAGTAAAACAAGAAGCAATTATCTAGTGTTCATGGTTGGACAGATTTAGACATACACAAAAACATCAAAATCGAGAGCAAACTTTTGCTATTTTCTACTCCTTTTTGGATTTTTTTTCTTTTGTTCTGTCTTTACTCTTCTTTCTGTAAATTCTTTTTCACTTTCATTTTCTTTTACTAAGGAGCTTTTGATGCCTTTTAAAACAAATCTTAGTCTCAAATTTAATGTAGAAAAAATGATGTCAAACAATAAGCAAAACAAGAGGTATACAAGTGAATTTGTTTTTCAAGTGCTCACAATTCTTTTGCACAAATTTTAGGTAACTTTCAAGAACTCTTTTCCTTTTTTTTCTAATGCTTTTAGAACTCTTATACTTCTGTTTTGCCTCTATTTTGATGGGCTAAAAATGTTCACACAGTTCAGCCACAACACAAGACACAAGAAATCCTAGGAAGCAAATATTGTTTTAGACAATTTTTTGACAAACTTTTTTAGAAGACATAAAGGAAATCTAACTCTACGAAATTTGCTAGAACTAATAGAAAATTAAGAACTCAAATGTGTAAAATAAAAGCACATATAGGTCAGCCACAAAGATTACAAAACCAAAACCGAATCCAATATTGACACAAAACAATTAGTAAAACAAGCTAGTATAAGAATTTGAGACATGTTAAAGGACTACACATGACTCTAGACAAAACATATGATTCAAAAAAAAAGAATACATTATTCAATATTATTATCCAATCACAGATTCAAGTAGGAATAGGCAAGACTCAAGCAAAATAAAAAGCACAAGCACAATTGATGGAAATCTAATCCCCAAGGATCCCTTTGGAAGAGGTAAGACCAAGAAGGGTGAAGGTTGATCCAAGGAGGCTCACACTTGAAGACCATTGGGCCTTTAACTAGGTCCATGGTTAGGAGGCTAGAGGAGGCTTCTAGAGAGGAGGTGCTTCTTAGACCTATGCTCAATATGAGTATTGAGTATGATTCCTCTTTTTAGTCTCATAGTCTCTATTGTACATACATTGTATAGTTTGATTTCTTGTACCTTGTATATAGTAGATACTTGTATAGGTGTATTTTTGCCTTTGTATTTGTGAGGCACTTTATTTCTTTTTATTAGCTATTGTATATTGTTTCTAGGGTAGGTTACTTGGACACTTTGACTCCATTTAACCTAATCTAGAAATACACTTTTTTCTTAGTTTTCTAGTAGTAGGATTGGGAGTGGCATTAGCAAGCTAGAGAGTGTCACTAGCAAGCTAGAGAGTGTTACTAGCAATTGGGCCAAGAGGTGGGCCTAGGCAAAATTTTACATATTGGACTCATTTTACTCCTAATTTTTCATAGATTTGATTTAGCTAGGTTTCATTCACATTGGATGAACCTAACTAAACCAAATTATCATTTTCAAACCCGGTTGGAGTAAATTAAGTCCAAAAAGCCGCCCACCTTAGTTTGTGTTCACATTGGCCAGATTGGCTACTCTCAAGCTTAGAAGCTTCTAGACCATGGGTGGTTAGCTAGACCTTACCATGGTTCCTAGTGAATCATGGTTAAGACTAGCTTACTCTCCAAGCTTCCTACTCCTATATACTTGTTTTCCTTTCATTGTAAGACACTTTTGGAATATATTGAGAGATATTTTCGAAATTTTTTAAAATTTCTCTCTTCTAAAAGTCCCAAACCTCTTTGATATTCATCCAATTCTCTTATCCCTTCACTAGAAGAGTGTGGTGAGAATTGAAGAGACTTATCTCTTCTCCAAGGAGTGGCGTCTCTTGGGAGAGTTCTCGACCAAACCGTGGTGGTTCTAAGGTCTCTTCCTCCATTGGAGACCTTAGAGAAGCTTAAGAAGAATCAAGGAGCCAAAGATCTAGGGAGGAGTTTGAAGAGGAATCAACATCAATCCGGTTTCTCAACAAGTTTTCCATCATTTGGTATCAAGAGCTAGGTCTCCTTGGTAAATTCGTTCTTAAGCTTTCTTGTCTTGTTTTGTTTGGTTAAAATCATGTAAAAGTGTGTCTAAACTGTTCCTCCATGTATTTCCTTTTATTGTCTTGTGTTTTTGTGCCTTGAGTGGTTCTTGTGTCACATCCATAAATCTATAGAACACACTCACTTTGTCTTGTTTGTTTTTGGTTCATGTTCTAAATTCTTGTGAATCAATCTTTGTGTGTGCCTTAGGTATTCTTTGTATGTCTTTTTAATTGTTTTAGGATTGCTTTTATCTTCCATTGGACTCCTATTAATTTCGGACTAAAAAGAAATCCCCAAAAAGAAACAAGAATACAAGAATTTTACATTTCTTAATCTACTAGTTTTGTCTTAGAGTCATGTGTAGTTGTTTTGCTTGTCATTAAATCCTTGTTGTGCCTTTTTAGTTTTGAATCTATATGAATTGATCTCTGTTCTTGTATGGTGTCATTGCTGGCTGAACATTAATATTATTAGAGTGCTCATAAAATGATTCCAATGCATGTTATTAGACCTAACATGTTCTAGAGTCAATTTTTGTGAACTTCAATTGCTATTTGTTTCCTAGCAATTTGTGACCCGAAATTCCTTGTGTGTCTTGTGCTTGTTTTAAAAAAAAGAAAACAGAGTTAGAAGTGTATTGAAAACGAAAATCAAAGTGTACAAAAGATAAGAACAAACTAGTACCAAAACTAGTAACATTTTGTGGTTGAAAATTTTGACTAGTACACTTACATTTCTTACACTTCTTGCTCTTCTTTTCTCCACCACTTGGAAACCTCTTTATTAATTGTTTGGCCTCTGTTTTAAGTGCTAATATTCTGTGTTCAAAAGAAAAATAAAAGAAAGAAACAAAAGGATAAGAAAAGGAAAAGAAAACAAAAAGAGAAAAAACCTAGAAAAAGCAAAGTGAAAACAAAACATTAATAGTAGCACTTGGCCTTGAAATTTTGTGTAATTTTTCTTGAGGTTTGCTTGCTGTCCAGTGGATGGAAAAAGACTTTTAAACACTCAAAACAATTGCAAAAATTTTATTTTGGTTTTTGTAATCCATTCTAGTGCCATTCCTAGGACTAATCCTTTGTGTGCTAGCTTTTGAAATTAGCCTTTAATTGTTGCTTTGTGTCTTCTTGGCTCTCTTTGTTTTGTCACATTAATTCCTACAAGAGTGTAGCCTATTCTAATTGTGGTTTTCAGTTTTAATTTCTTGGCCTCTACTCTCTCTTGATTGATTGTTAATCCTTGGTTAGATATAATTCTTTTTCAAGCCATTACACTTGGAAGGAAGGGCTAATTGAGACATATTGGGTTAATCTCAAAGGGGTCAACACTTGAAGAAGATTGAGGTACAGATTACTTGAGTGAAACACCTTGGAAAGTCTCACTTGTTTTTTCATTTTGCAGCCAAGACATTTTTCTTATTTTAGGTTGAAGATTGGAGACAGATTTTGGAAGGGAATTAGAGACGGATTTGGACGGTTGTGACGGATTTGTGGAGTTCTTCATTTTCCTACATTTTGGTCACTAAACTTGTTGCAAAAGCTGTTCCAAATTCAGCCCTCAAGACCTCTGAAGAGACTCTCCAATTTCTTTTGATTTGTATTGATTTCTTGTTGTAATTCTTTAACCCTACCCTTGGGCTAACTTTTAACTTTCTTTTGTTGAAAACAAACTTACATTTAGGAGTGGTTTTTTGGGAAAAATCTTGGGGGAAATATCTTTGGCCTATTGGCTGCACATCCATTAACTCCCTTGTTGTCCCTACATCACCCAGATCACACTGATCCTATCTTTCCTAACATGACAACTACACAATCTCTGCAACATTTATTTGAAGCGGTTAATGTTGATTCTGAGAGGATCCTACAACAAACAGTTTGTTATGAAAGGAGGCTTTCATGGACAATTTCAGTGTCATGGGGCTATGCTGTTCAAGTATTCCAGCACAACATGCTTTTGCCAGATGTTCTGAGAGTGCAAAAAACATTCAAGCAATGGTTGAAAGGAAATGTTTTGAGAGGAATATACACTTTCAATACAAGAGAATTTCACCCTGATCCATGTAAAAGACCCACTATTTTCTATCTAGATGAAGTTTCTTCTGGCAAAGATGGTATCATAAGCAGTTACAAGAAATATTTTCAAAATTGCCAACACAAGGCATCGATGAACAAATTGGAGGTGATCAAAGTGGTTACAAAAAAGTTATACCTTAACAAAAAGGTAATTTATCTTGTGCACTTCACACTTGTATTTTTTCATATGAGGGCTATTAGCTATTAGTAGGATATTTTATATTAGTGATAATACTAATTATAAATCATTCTTTTGTATTAAATTGCAGATTCCAAGAAGGCACTGTTGTGATGTGTTGCCCTCTAATGCTGGTGACTTGATGGAAATAGCAATCAGAGAATGCAAATATGAAGAACTGATTTACATGAACTGACAGAAAAAGTATATTAAATCTCTTTCAATCCTTTAAAAACGTTTCTAGTTTATAAAGAAGGCAATAATCGATGGTGTAAGGGAATGTCCAATCTAGAATGTGAACTTTCATGTATGCTAATAGAGCAATTTACTAAAGATGTAAGAAGATTAATGATTCACTTGATTAATTCAAACTTGGAAAATAAAACGGAACATATAGGATGGGAAAGTGCCTTTGGACGCAATAACTTTTATGATAAGTTCACCCCTATCTACAGAATCAACACCAACAATGTAGCTTTCCACTCAGTAATTATTTTTATGAAAATAATTAATTATTTTATGAAAATAATTAATTATTTTATGCAATAATTTATTTAATAATAAATTATATAGCCTATGGACATAGTCCACCTAAGGACTAATCTTACCAGAATAATTTATTTATAATAATAAAGTAATTTTTGTTTGTTAAGTATTATTTTAATACAGATGCAAATGGAATCTAGACTACCAAGTCAATCCTTTATGTTCTAGTACAAGTCTTTACAATCAGAGTCAAGAGATTTGATTATTAAAATTGAGTATAAAATATAAAAACAATTAATAATTTTTCATAACATAAAAATTTATAATATTGTATTGATTGACAAGTAAGAATTAAATTTATAATTATAACTAGCTAGTCTCCCTTTACTGTATCTTGTTAAAATATATATATATATAGCT